AAGTAGAAGTTGACTGTAAGAGTGTCATGTTCGGATAACCGCTAAAAGTGTGGGAAGTATGCGCTGCGAGTACAAGTGTAGGTGTTCTCCGGTATGGTTGAAGTAGCCTGGGCACCTATTCCACTTGGGAAGGAGACGCCTTGGACCGCATTTCGCGCGGAGAAAAGTTGAAAGATGATGGAGGCATGTCTGGATAACTCGGAGTTTTTAGGAAGTTTCCCTGAGTAGGTATTCACGGATGAGGGTTGACTTGGGGTGAAGAAAAAGCCACTATTGCTTCGCAGTGGTACTTGCAAATAAAATCCGAGGCATGTGTGCTTTTCCTTCATATTGAGTCATCAGCTGCTTACTTTTTGTCTGATATTGTGTCATAGCTAGATAGCTGCATACGCAATTGAAATCTGATGCAAAAAAATAAAAGAAAGAATACGGAGCGACTACACCGGCACCACCAGAAGGTGATAATTTCTCGCTTACCAGCATTGTATCTCTTTGAGCTCAGGCCAACAGTTAACAAGTAGGTTCTCCATCGACTTCCACTCTTCTTAAACACAGGCATGCGATCATATTCGCTCATCGTCTTGCAGGTTGATATAGTGTATTGATCTGTTATCACAGACACGGAGATAGAATCACGAGATAACATAAGGGGAGGCTAGGATTTATGCCGATATTGTTTGGTAGAATATTTGGCCCAACCATCGGAGGGCTACAACGTCTTTAGCTAGAAGCAAATCCCCCATTTGACATTAACGATAGTCACACAGGATCCAGTAAACCAGAATTGACTGTGTCGCCGTTTCGGGGTTGAGTTTTACTCTGCATTTTGCTGCTTGGGCAACATGCCTACTTACAATGTGCTACGTCCACGTATCAATCTAATAACCCACACACGTCGCGTTGTTCATACAGACCGGGCTGACCAACACGATGCCTTACAATTGTTTTGTTTTATTATTTTGGTCCTAAGCTAATGCTAATTTTCCACAATGGGTCAGGGACAGGTGGAGCCGGTGAGGATCACTGTATACAGGCCCAACTCATTCCAACCGCGTGAACTTCCACATAAGTAATGGTGTTGACAGCAAAACTAAAAGCATAAACAAAAATCAAAATCAAAAACATAAATCATATTCAGAAGAAGTCCCGATTTGGTCTGGATCCCGCGCTTCTCGCCTGTTCCCTTTCCTGTCACATTTTCCAAGTGATAAATTGTTATAAAAACGTGGTCATGAGAAGACAGGAGTACCTGAAATGGATGCAGATGATTATGGATCTGCGGATATGCGGATACAATTGATGTAGCTGTGATGCTAAGATGCGTTGGAATGGACAGTGGTAAGGTGGTTATCCATCTATCAGCGGAAGTATTGCTTCCTTATATACACGTTCAACCCCCAGTCCTGATCACGCACTCATCACAGGTGCTTCCTACTCCTGTCACAGTAACCGCTTCCAAAGCCACTACCAATATCTCCTGACATAACTTACCAATGATACTGGTTGCTAGTGTGGACCTTCCGGGATTACAGAACTACACACCATCGTCACATTATATGCTGTTGCCCCTCGGTAGCTATCAGAGTGATGTGTACCTCATTCTAGACGCATTGGTCTACCAGGCAACGCTCGGACGTAGGGATGTTGCCAGAGTGATTAAGTCCTCAGCTGTGCTATCAGTGCCCTAATATCACCTAGCTTCCTGCGCCCGAGTGTCCAAGTGCCGCAATAGTGGAAGTTCAATGAGACTCGATCGGAGATAATCCGTGGTATTCACAACACAAATTCTGATCTTTGCTGAGAGCAAAAGATGAGCTCGCAGGCACCCTTTCTCCAGCCGGTGTCCTGCTATTAACGTGTTGAAGTCTCTACGAATTCACTGAGGCTGGCCGTAACCTTAAACCTCATCTTCGAGTCCCAGAATCCCAATACCCGATCCGTCTGACATATAGACGTCATTCTTCACGCCGTGAATCGCCAGAATGGCTATTTCGGCTGCAGCTCTGATGCGAGTAAAATCTACGTGATTTTTCTGCTCGACCTTGCGAATCATCGCAAGCTGCTCTTTTTTCACCGGGCCGAACTTTCTGGGTCTGGCTTTGCAGAACCATGAGTCTGATCGATGAGGTCCCCCACAGTTTCGACAACGTGTGGGGGCTTTGCACTCCGTTTCAGAATGCATTTTTGATCAGCAGTTACAGCAAGCCGGAGCGCGGGAGAAACCGCGTGAGACATGGAAGCTAAGACATCGTTTGCACTGAACTATGTTTCGACGAGGATGGTAGAGCTTTGCAGCTCCGAAGTCATCGAAGAGGCGAAATCCAGGTCGGGGCGTGGATTCGCGAAGGAAGAGCGCTTGCCAGTTCTGGTATGGCGCCCCGCGTTTGCTGATCCTTTGAGCAGGAACAAGATAAGGAACTGATTTGGTCACTCGCGTGACTTCGTCGGCAATAATCTTTGCCGTCACGGCGATGGGACCATCGAGAGTTCGAATTGTCTCCGGGACTGTGGCAATTTGCATGACAGCCAGATTTGATGCTGGTTCCAGTTTGATTCCAGATTCGCTCCGTGATGTGGAGGAATCTAGGAGCTCTTTTCGAGAGAGTTCATCCATTGCAGTTATTGCAAAGCCGATCTTTACCCGCTGAACCAACGTGATATTTTTGGCTGCGGTACCGAGAGCCTCTGAGACAGCTGATCTTACGCAAGCTGGTGAAAGGAGCCGGTAGGGGTGGTTATATGCGAGGCGTAGAAACGGTCGTGTGTCGACCGCTGTCCTCGTATTGGCTCCCTTTGCTTTTGGGGCGGGCGGGACTGCCTTTGTCGTTGATGGCCCAATGCTGTGGCCAAGGCCTGCTCGGGCTACATTCGCTCAAGTTGGCTTTTGGGCCGGAGCCTGGGTTGTCGAAGGGTTAGGTACCCTAATTTCCGGAGCCCTCGGTGGGAGAGGGTTGGCGGGGCGAGCAGGAAGGACTGGTAGTATGCTTCCTGGACCGGACTGAATGAACTGGCCAATGGCTACTCGTAGGTAGACTTTTATACCGTCTACGAATTCTTTATTATTGCAGTCGAGTAGATGGCGAGGCGGGCCGTAACTTGCGTCGTCCGACGCTTCTCGGCTTCCATCACTGATTGTAGCTCCGGAGGATATTCCGGTGCTCATGTCGAAGCTGTGCCTTTTGGAGCTTGCACAGTGAATTTTCTCGCAGATGTTTCTGCTTGTTCTGTCGTCTTCTCTCGGAAGACTTCCTTATCTTGAGGTGCTTGCCTCTGGGGCAAGCTCGGTGGGAAATTTGGCCTCGGGACCAACTCTTGCTGACCTGACGGGCTCAGAATCAGTCATCTCTTTGTCGGGAAGGTTTGGAGACTTCCCTTCGATGAAGGCCTCACTCGAAAACATGCTTGAAAGTTTTTGCGGGAGCCCTCGGGCGGACTATCGCGTTGTCCAACATTGTGTTGGAGAGCTTTTTTCGAACAGGTGGCACAACAAAAATGCCAGCGACTTGATCACAATTTATTGGGGGAATGCGACGAGCGCGAGAGGGAGGGAGAGGGGGAAAAGGTGAAGATTCGAAAATTCGAATTTCAAAAAATTGTGATTGTTTTGTAAGCTAGCAAAACGTTAAATAATTAAAAAAAATCGGTTCAGACTTGGAAAGGAAGAAGAGCTAGGCTAAAGTTGTTATCAGAGAAGCCGAGCAGTTGTGTGGTGGTCTGGCGCAACGTTAAATAAGAAGAAAAACAATAACCCACACCAAACCGAAACTACTCATAACCCTGATCATGACCCCATAAATACTTGTGATGGTAGCCTGCAACCTAGCACAATTCGGCTAGACATCGTTGACTAGGTCCTCATCCGAACAGTACTAGATTGGAGAGTCGGAACCTCCCATAGCGTGGCGGGTAGTATGCACAGATGATGATGCTTATGGGTAGCATTTTCACCTACCCGTGTAGCCTGAGCGAGTTGGGTCACGTAATCTTCTCATGGCGTACATTGATCTTGTCGAAGGTACTTTGATTCTCGAGTCAACTTTTTCAACGTAATAACCTATGTCCCGTATCTTTCCTGGGAGAAATTCATCATTCATAAACTTCACAAAAAAAACGAAACAAGTTTCAAAGTTAGTTGCTAGCTGTGTCTAAATTTCTCCTCTTTCCTCATAAAATTTAAATACATGAACAAGTCACTACCAACTCTGTTTCAACTACAGGCTGAAATAACTGATCTATGAGCCTCCTCCTCTTTTTGCGCCTGTACATTGGTAAAATTTAAGAGCTGATTTTTACTGTAGTTAATATATAGAATTCCAGAGTATTGTCCAGTACTATTGTCCATCAACTCTTGAACATTTATGGTAAGCCTCCCGATAAAGAGTGAGTGTGAGTGAGTGTTTGTGTTTATTGTGCTACTTGAGTCTATGACTGTCTAGCACATTGGGCTCCTCTCTGGCCCAGGCCACACCTTGTACAGTGCTCCTATCCTCTTTTGTTACTTGAAAGATCATTGATATATTCCCCTTGATGAATAGCTATTCAGCTCAGTATTTACCCGAGGAATTCAGCCACCTTTTCCACGGAGCCTTCTACCCAAAAAAAAATAAAAATGGTAGCAATGGAAACTGTGTGCGCTGGAAAAAGTCTCAAAAAACCTGCAGCCCCAGCCAGGCGAGGCCTAGACACCGGGACCACATGAGGTGCGCATATTCATCTACATCTCCCTTCTTTGTAACAGTCGAGGCCGACTTGATCCAGTCCGCCATCTCCGTATCGGGTGCTGGGTACGCTCCGGAAACTCATCGGATGGCTTCTCCTCCATGATCAAGGTTTGGTGATGAGTAGAGCTCCGACCCTACCATCTGATCTGATCGTGGTTAGCTTCATGATAATGGTGATAGGGGAATGTGTTGAGAGATGAAGACGATACAGATCGCGAAAGCGATTGGGAATCCTCTTCGAAGTGAGGACTTTGTTACTCAATCTCGGCTCTGCAGACTCTACAGTGAGAGCTGGAGGTTCGTAGGGGACACCGCTGACAGGTGTTGAGAATAGTCCCCCTCCCGATAAAGATATACCATGCCCTGAGGATGACCCGCGCCGTCCACAATTAAGAAAAATTGCAGATTTCGCCCTTAATCAAGATTTAATAAATAGAAGACAAATTAGCAGTAAATTTTTGCTTCCCACCATTGAAAACTAAAACACCAGGAATCATAGGAAACAATTTATGCGGGATAGAACCATTCAAGCCTTCAGCATTATAAAGCGTAGGGTAGCCATCAATAGTGCGCCGACCTAGTTCGAGTACTCTCATAGCGGATAGGCAAACACTTTCTAAGTAAAATTTAACACTAGAACATGTATATATCAATGTATCTTCATCGTCGGCTTGAGCCGCACCAAATGATGTGAATAGACTGAGAGTTGTCGTGATCAAAGATACATTGAGAAACTTCATCGTGATTGGCGTTAGAGCTTCTTTGCTCAGGTTATCAGGATTTCCGCGTTGTTGAGGGCCTTTTCTTTGGTATACGGGATAATTTCCGCCGTTGGAATATTGTGCAAGCTTTTGAGAGTATGGTAGGAACCGGTGACCTTGATAGATTGGGGCATGGTAGGGTTTTATAGACTTGACTTGTCTATCAATAGACCAGCCGAGCAGATATCTTTGTAGAAGACCAAAAGTAGCGAGGACTAGAGAATCTTCCTCGACGAAAGTGTTGGAAACCTCGGTCCAGAATTATCTTGTCCATTGCAAATTGTGACAAAGCCAAGCTTGCCAATTCTTCTTTCAGTCAGCTCCATAGACTGGATCCCTTCAAATTTCATTTCAGAGGCATTTGCTTCATTCGGCATTAGTCATATCTTCTTCCTTGCTATCTGGGATTATAGATAGAGACTCCAGCCCTATAAGAGCCACATATTACTGGATTTTTGGGTCCTACGCTATAGGGAAAAGTGGACGAGATCTTTGAAACAGCTCCCGCCTATCCATGACGGCTGAGAGGACGAAAACTAAGCGGTAGTCAACACTGAGATGTCTGGCATTGGGCTTGAGACATCTCCTTTCGTGTAGGATTTGCAAGTGGTCAAGGATAGAGTGAGATGAGCTCGAGATCCTGCCTGAAGCTCCTCATACAATCAAGAGCGTTGAGAAGAAGAAGTTTGGAATGAAGCTAGGGCGGTAAGCCTGTATGACTGGAATCGAGGGTAGATGAAAACTAGAGTGAGCGTGGAGTTGATAATCTCCACACAGATGAACAGCGCGTGTGCGCTGCCGGACTTTTTCAAAGAAAATACCCAATAACATCAATCCACTCTATGCTGATACGAAGGTTAGAAATAACTCATTTAAATGTATTAAATCAGTCAATCATTTTATGTAAGCATTCAATTCACCGAACACACTGGCACTGACGTATCCTGAATTCGATTTGAGCGTGCCAAGAGATTTGTTAGGAGCTAGAATAGTAAATTAGCCGAACCAGGTACAGAGACTGGAGGGCAAGACTGAACACCTGCATGTGGTGTCCTCTACGAACCTGGGAGTGAAATATTCTCCCATAGCCAAGTTCAGTCAAATTTCGCAATACCGAACAAGTTAACAAGATGATGCGAAGGATGGATTCAGTCTCGACGGGCGTGGAATTTTGAATTTGACAAGGAGTTTTTACAAATTGAACTTTGTGCGTGCCAAGGCTTCGGTTGCGAGAGTGCAGGCGACACTATAAAAACTGCCATGGTTGGATGGTGCGGTGGTACATCGTCTTGGCCGATCAGCCAAGTAGAGTCTGAATAGCTTGGACACATATCCCACTCGAGACAGTAGAGCGCTGGTTCAAATCCAGCAAAACACAACCACATTTCTCGCGGCGCTGGTATGCATGGATGACGAAGGCATGCTTGGATAACCTACGGTTTCGAAATTCCCTTTGGTGGGTACTTACGGAGGAGGGTCGACTGTTTGTGTAAGCGAACAAACCTCATAGTGGTATTTGCAAATCAAATCCAGAGCATGAGTGTCTCTAACGTCAAAAGAGTCATCCAACATGTATACATAGCACCGGTCATGTGTCATAGCTCCATAGCTGAAAACACATTAAATAATTAAAAAAAAAGAGGCAAAAATTCAAATTACTCCACCATGTCAATCTTTCACTCCCAAAGAGTCCAATTCTCAACTAAGCTTCATCAAGTATTCAGGTACGACTAGATATATCCTCCTTTCAATGACCACATCTCTCTTCGACCTTCTCTGACCTCAGTTGACCACCAAATCTACGCCTGCGCCGATATTTATAGCCTACTGTAAAGTTGTAATGAATTCAGATGTACTTGAAAGACAAGGACTCGATAGGAATTAATAACTTCCTCCTTGGACAAACCATCTACCACGTACTCTCCCATACGTTATATGCTCTGTGTAGACTAGTCTTAACTCCCTCCATTGGCCCCTGAGAATCATCCTTTCTCCCGGCACAACTCTTCTCCTGTATCATACTCCCCATCTGGTGTGTACCCCCTTAGCGCCCCTTTCGTATATCCGGGAGCGTTGCCCTGCCACTACCTTACCTCGGAGACGGAGTGGTACTAGTGACCAGTCCCAATCCGGGCAAAGCCCGTCACATCTATACTCCAACACTTTCTCTAGTATCTTGAACTCCCTTTTCTTTATTCTCGGATCATCTTCTGATTTAGGCGCATCTTGATCCAATTGTGATGATGCGTCCGGTCGGCCACTCAGCTTTCTCGCCCTGAATTTCAGCTTGAAACTGAACTGAGACAACAGTTGAGACTACCTCACCTGAAGTTCCGACAACTTCCCGGTTGACATGAAGTATTTTTAGTTCTTATGATCCATCAATATGACAAACAGTTCTTTCAGTCTTAGCAGTTCACTACTCCACTCGTTCAAACATCTGATGATTGCTAAGAGCTCTTTATCATGGATGTTATAGTTGCACTCTGCCGACGTCAACTTCTTCGAATAGTAGGCTACTGGATTGAATTGTCCACCCAGTTGATGTTGTAGCAGGTACCCCCTGCTGCTCAACCTGAAGTATCTGTATCCAGTATGGTTTTCTGTTCACCATCCCATAACACTAACATAAGAGCCGTGATGAAGAGGGCCTTTAACTTCTTGAATGATTCTTGTTGATCCCTTGCCCATTAGAAAGGTGTTCTCTTCTTGGTGAGGTCTTGAAGCGGAGCCGAAATCTTCGCGAAGTTCTCTATGAATCTCCGGTAAAAATTGGTAAATCCCGAACAGCTATGAACACCTTTCCCATTTTTGGAGATTCCCATGCTATGATGGCCCGTATTTTCTCTGGACCTACGTTGATGCCTCCTTCCACGCTGATGATAAATCCTTGATATTTGATCTCCTTTTTGGCAAACTCACATTTTTGGGGATTAAGCTTGAGTCCCTCCTTATTTATTCACTCCAGCACTTGGTTCATCTTTTTCCAATGGTCTTTCAAATCCCCGGTAGAGAAAATGAAGACGTCATCGACACACGCCGAGCAAGTGTCCCCTAATAACTCTCTAAGCACTTGATTTATCTACCTCTGGAATGCCAATGGTGCCCCAGCTAAACCAAACGGAGTAACCAACCACTCAAACGACCCGAACCTCGTTCTGAAAGCCATTTTCCACTCATCTGCCTCAGCGACTCTCAGTCTATGGAAAGCTGACCTGACGTCTACCTTTGTTAGCCATTTCGCTCCAACTGGCATTCGCATAGTCTCTCGGATAAGGGGTAGAGGATAGCCGTCGCGTTCCGACACTGCATTCAGTGCCTGATAATCAACGCAGAACCTTAGGCCTCCTGCCTTCTTTATGAATAGAATTAGTGCCCCTCCAGGCGAGCTACTCGCCCTTATCCAATTCTTGTCCAATGTAACGGCTACAAAGCCGGTATTTCCTGTAGCCAGTACTGGCAAGTATTGGCGTACAACCACCGGAGAACGGGCAGGCGCAAATACCACATAAAAGATACAAGAATCTCCTAAGAAGGGACTAGAAAAGTCTCCATGTGAGTAAGACTGATACTGAACCTTGGAGAAGCTGCTAGAAATGATACACTTAGAGTAGCAACTGGAATCATCTAGAAATGAGCTGACCATGGAGGGAAGAACTTTGAATGTAATAAATTTGTATATATACCTGGATTAGTACGTAGAACTTAGGTCTTCATAGTTGAATTATAAAATACCATCATCCATACAAATGCTCCTTGCTTTCTATAGTTGATCTGTGACATCCAATAGCTCAGTTAATGTCTTTCGTAAAACCAGCAATTCATCCCTCGACATCCCGTACAGTGGTCCCCAGGGCACTCCCATTTCTTGGCCCTGCTGATCCTTGAGCATTCGTACCCTTGTGTCTACACCTAGTCGTAATGGTGGAAGTAAGTTCCCGCCGTCAATACCATCTTCCACAAACAGGTCCGTGAAATGCCTGACTTCCCTGGGCAAGCCATTGCTGGCCGTATTTTTTAGAAATTTTCCTTCTTGGCTCCAATACCTTCGTAATATCATGCATTGAAATAGCTCCGACTAGTTTGCTTACAATGTCTGGCGCTTCCCTCGACTCGTGATTACATATTTCCGATAACTCCAGGTACGATATCGCCGCTTTTTTGCCTAACCTTGCATTCCTTAGCGCTTCCCGTACCTCCTGTGGTGCAAACTTGTCAACCCAGCCACTTGACTTTACCATAATTCTACTGTCCCCCTGGCCTATATGCAGGTATTGTTTTCCTGCCACGTAGGTCACCTTCTTACGTTCCATCCAGGGCTTGCCTAAAATAATTGGGTACGCCAAGTTGGGCATCACATATCCCCACAATTGTTCTTGACGCCCGTCAGTATCCAATTTATATCGCGCGATCTTACTGATCTTTGTCCTTGATCCGTCGGCTAACCGCAAGCTTTTTGAAGACACTTGCTCAACGAAAGTATTTTCCCTGCGCACGAGGGCTTCATCAATCATTGAAAGACACAAGAATCCAGTATCAAACATAGCTTGTACGAAAAATGAGGAATTTATTAAGGAGTTAATTAGTAGCGGCTGCGAGACCTGTTCTTCCGAATACTTCCGCTTCATTGAAAAAGTTCCGTCCTTTCCCCTGAGAGAGACCTTTCTGAGGAGTTTCTGTTTTCCGAAATTTTTCCCTTCCCTCTGTCCCGCTATTGCTGCAGCAGCATTCAGCCCCGACTTTGGAGCCTGAGGTCTCCGAAACTTTTGACAAAATTCCTGTGATCGCCTTGGGGACCTCGGCAGTTGCCTCTCCTCATTGTTTTCTTGTATTCCGTGTGCGAATACCCTGCTGGACTTGTTCCCGCTCTTACACGAGCAATCTCCTCTTCTTCGTCCTTCATCGAACCTCCAAAACCTGTAAGGGTTGCGTTTGTACCGTCTGTATAGACTTCTCCTTCAACATTTACTGCCCGCCGA